AAAAAAAAAAAAGAAAAGGAGAGCGAATGACATTCTTTTCTTTTCTGTCATGCTGCAAAAATTAAAGACACATCTCGGGGTTGGAGCGGGGCCAGGTCCTTTGCGAGCCGCCGGGGTCGGATTGGAGGAGCCTTCGACTGCAACGTGTCTCGGATGCGCAGATACAGCGCTGAACGGCGGCCAGCACAGCTCCGCACCGCCGGCCGTGCAATGCGCGCCCATCGCCACTTTTTTTTTCCCTTTCTTTTTTTTTTTTCCTCTCCGCCTTTCGTTACAGCCCGGAAAAAAAGACCTGGAGAGGTCGGCGGCGTTTAGTTTGGGTGTTTTTTTTTTTTACCTCTCCCGTTTGACGTGTCTCTTCTCCCCCCCCATCCCCCTTTCCATGACCCCCACACTCTATGCTCGCAGTTGTTGGGGTTCGCCCTCTCCATCCATCCCCGCTGCTGGGCTCTGCTTTGCCGTGTGACACCCAAACCCCACTGCTCACCCGCCCCATTGCCCCCCGTCCCCTATGGGGTCACCCCTTTGCTCGGTGCCACATGGCTCTCGTGGGGCTCCATCCCATCCCGTGGACCCAGGGCGGCCCTGAGGATGTATCTCTGTTTTTTTGGGTGCGTAATTACAGCCTCCCCAAATTGCACGGTGCGCTGTGGATTATTGTCAGAGAGCTTTTTCTTTTTCCAACCAACGTGGCTCTGCAAATGTGGAAACAGCGGTGGAGGCGTGCCAGGGGGGAGGAAGAAAAGGAGAGGGAGAGAAAGGGAGAAAGAATGGACTGAAAGAATGGGAAAGAAGGGAAAAAAGTACAAAAAAACCTCAACACAAAACAAACAAATTTGCAGGTCCCTGCTGCACTTTTTGGGTGTCGGCATCTCCTGGTTGGGGCTGTGGGTGCAGTGAGGGCAGCTCGGCCTGTGGGGACGGGAGGTGCTGAGGGACCCCATGGGGCAGCGGGGGCAGCTCTGGGCCGTGGGTGGGGGCACGGTGTGGGGCACAGTGGGAGGGGGCTCTCGCTGCCCCAAATGGGGGCACACATCTGTGTAGGGCTGCGTGGCACCCGGACCCACAGAGCGCCGTCCCCACCCCGCCCGGCCACATCCACAGCACACAGCCTTGAGAAAAGCCCTAAAAACACCCGAAACCCCCACACCCCAACCGCTCCAGGGTCCCCATCCCAAATACTTTGGGGTCTCCATCCCATCTGCTTTGATGGTGTCCCCATCCCAACCACATTGGTGTCCCCACCCCAAACACCCTGGTGTCCCATTCCCAAGAGATTCAGGGCTCCCGTTCCAGCTTTGGTGTCCCCACATCGACCTCTTCAGAGTCCCCATACCAAACATTTTGGGGTCCCCATCCCAACTGCATTGGATTCCCCATTTCAAAAACTTTGGGGTTCCTGTCCCAAATACTTTGGTGTTTCCATCCCAAATATTTTGGGGTCCTCATCCTAAGAGCTTTGCGGTCCCTAACTCAACCTCTTTGGGGTCTCCATCCCAAGTGCTTTGGGATCCTCATTCCAGGTGTTTTGGAGTCCCCAACTCAACTATTTTGGGGTCCCCGACTCAGCAACCTTGGGATCCTCATTCCATGTACTTTGGGGTCCCCATCTCAAATAGTTTTGTGTCCCCAGCTCAATTACCTTGGGATCCCCATTCCATGTACTTTGGGGTCCCCATCTCAAATAGTTTTGTGTCCCCAACTCAACTACTTTGGGGTTCCCATTCCATGTGCTTTGGGGTCTCAATCTCGGATAGTTTTGGGTCCCCACCTCAACCACTTTGGAATCCCTAATCCAGATGCTTGGGGTCCCCACCTCAACCACTTTGGAATCCCTAATCCAGGTGCTTTGAGGTCCCCATCTCAACTATTTTGGGGTCCCCATTCCAGATGCTTTGGTGTCCCCATCCCAAACTCTTTGCGGTTCCCCATTCCAAGCGCTTCGGGATCCAATCCTCTTTGGGATCCCCATCCCAACTTCTTCGGGGTCCCCATCCCACCCCGCTCTCCCCGCTCTGGGGGTGCCATGTATGCGTGTGCAGACTGGGGGGGGGATGGGGGGACGGCGAGTCCTTTCCTATTGGCTGAGGGGCCGTCCAAAATCCCCCGTGCGCTCCCGCGCAGGCTATGATGGGTCCCACCTCTCGGCGCCGCCGGACCGTATATAAGGGCAGGCGGAGCGGTGGGAAGGCAGTAGGAAGTTTCTGCTGGGGTCTGGATTGGAGCTGCGGAGTGAGATCGGCCCTGAATGACCCGACCCTAAGACAAAGAGCCCCAAAGAGTCTACATGTCTAATATTTAGACATGTTCAGCTTTGTGGATTCTCGGTTACTGCTGTTGATAGCAGCGACTGTACTACTCACCCGCGGGCAAGGAGAAGAGGACAGTAAGTAGCGGGCGGAGGGATGGGGTGGAAAAAGGGCTGCGTCCTGTGGGGAAGAAAAGAAGGAAAATGGAGTTAAATAGGGATAAAACGGGCTGGGGGAGTAGGGGAGGAGTGGGGTGTGTGGGGTGCGTGGGGCTGCGGCCAAGAGGAGGAGGGCAGGAGGGTGGAGGGAGCAGGGAGAGGAGGTGGGATATGGGGAAAGTGAGGAGAGGGGGGAGCGGGGAGAGGGAGGAGAGGGGAGAAGGGGCCCGGCCCCCAGCTCTGCGAAAGCCATCAGGAAAGAATTAGAAAAGTCTCAGATGATTCATAAGGAAAACGTTCCGGCCGCCCCATAGCGCTGCCCAGACATCGGGGCGGGGGGAGCGCAGCGTCCCGTCCGTCTGTGGGGTGCAGTGTGGGGTGGGCAGGGGGCACGAATGGGGTCACTCTGTACCCCGAGAGCCACACTGCTGCCGGTACAGAGATGGGGCACATCGTGATGGCACTGGGCTGGCACTGGGCTGGCACTGGGCTGGTGCCAGGCTGCGCCGTGCCGCGTTGCTCCGAGCATTGGCCGTTCCCAGGGGTTCCGTTTTGTGTCGCTTTTATGGGTTTTGTGGCTCTTTTTGGGGCAGTTTCCCTCCTGGGCCCATTCCCACCCACTGTGCCATTTTCCTTTGGCACCGCGCGTTGTGCAACGCGCCCGGCAACGCCCGCAGCACCACGGGCAACTTTGTGCTTTGGGGTTCCATTTTTTGGGCTCAATCCTGCATTTCTCAGGGTCGATCCTGCATTTTT